ACCCATTGCTTTTGTTAGAAGACATTGTGTAATATTTACTATATAGAGTTTGGAGATGACTTTTTTTTCCACATGTAACAGGTGGGGCATGCCATCTCTCTTGATGCAAGCTTGATTCAGAGTCAATATGGAGAGTGCATAAACAATATGGTAGACACCCTAATCTGGGCCCGTGAAATGAACTGCTACCCATTGAGCTTAAGAGCTATGTGTGCTATTTTCTTTGATGAGCTGCTATCTAAACAAGTTGGAAGGTCTGACTGGTCACAGACAAAATTAACTGAAAGGCAATTATTCTATGCTGCCACAGATGCTTGGATATCACTCAGAGTATATAAAGAAATGAAGAGGTATGATGTAATTGCTTGTATGTTGCCAACACTTCCTATCAACTGACTGTGAGATCTGCCCGTTGAGACTGTTGAGATCTCTCTCTCTCTGGCAAAATAATTATATTAATTAATTATGAACTTAACTTGCTATAATTCAAATTTGTCTGCATTAGATGTAGATTTTTCATCTTGGTCATCAAACCGGAAAGGACTGGAAGATACTTGCATTCACTGTTCTTAAATTTTTTCCTTGGGTTGGAAATTGAATCTGGTTTTCAAAAGATTAAATTTCTTATTTTCCTTATTCAAGGCTCTGATCATAACTGTTGTACGTCAAAAAATTTTAAACCAAAACAAGCACTTGAACCACTGAACATATTTGGCATGCAATAATAACTATATTAAATCCTCCAAATTCTAACACAGTCTACTAAGTGAGGAATCAGTGAGTGCTATTGCGTTGTAGAGGAGAAATAAAAAGGGAAGGCTGAGGATTAACTTTATTTTCACATTTACTTTAGAATGATATTCTTTGGGATGTCTACTTACCCTTTCACTGGTCAAAGCTGAGTCTGGTCTTGTTTCCTAAATATTTTTTGGGATGAGTGCAGTGTCCTTTCTTCAACAGCCACATCTCCTTGACCCTAAAAAGCTTACCCTTAAGCCTTTACACCCTAATATGAGTATCTATATTATCCATACTCTTCTCTATACAAACAAATTAAGGGGTTAAGTTTCAAAAGATACGGTCATGTTGCATTGAAGGGAGCGTATTAAGTATTATCAACTGAATTGATAACATAAATAGGCCCCTGTAAATAGTTTCAAAGCTGGTGTTTCAAGCATTAGCCCTTTTTCAGATCCAATGGACGCTCTGACAAAGGGCTAAAGCTCAACACATCAGCTTTGAAACTCTTTGCAATGGCCTATTTTCATTATCAACTTAGTTGATTATACTAAATTACCCTGTTCTTCTCAACACATTTCTTTTGGTACTGACAAAGATAATTTGCTTAACAATCAAAGCCTCATAGGTTGGCTGTCATTTACTTTATTCTCCTGACTTTCATGTTTGATTCAGTGTTGATACTGTGATAAGCTAGTTACAGGTGGGCTATAAAAGGGGTCAAGGGCTCCACTCTGTTCAACAGAAACTTTGAGAGGATGTAGTGCTCAAGAAAATTTTTGAGATACTTATATCTTATGAATTATTATAATTTTCTATGGTGAATTAAGTTTTGGTTAATCAAGACAGCTGGATCACTCAAAATGCCCCTCTCTTTGTTAATTTCTGTAAACAGGACAGCTAAAGTAAACAGACTGCCCCTTTCTCCACCTCTTGAGTCAACTATGGATGTGTTCAAGACAATGCAATTAGCTAAGTCTGAACGAAAGAAGAGAAGATTGATAAGAGAGAGACAGAAGAAGGAAAAACAGGCCAGCCAAAGTAAAGAGATTGCCCCTTTCTCCACCTCTTGAGTCAACTATGGATGTGTTCAATCAATTCAGTTAACTAAGTCTGAATGAAGGAAGAGAAAATTGATAAGAGAGAGACAGCAGAAGAAAGTAGATGAAAGAGGGCTTTGAGTGACAGCTCAGAGAATTGATATGGTGATTCGAAAAGAATCCAACCAAGTTTTTTCTCATCTCTTGGATACAACTTTTCAAAAGTTCTTTCCATTATGGTACAAGTAACAAAACTTAAAAATTCTCTATTAAAGTATTGTTTATTGCGAGTAATTGTCTGTTTATTTGTCAGAAATGATGTGGTTCATTTTAATGCTGTAGCTTGTGCCTTTGGCGGCATCCATATGTTTACACACAAGCACCATGGGGGCGGCTTACATTGTAGGGACCAAATCTAGGACCCCCCTCAATTTATTAAGAATTCCTGAAAATGCATTTTTAACATGGAAATAAAGAGGTCATTCAACTGACCAAGTTGGTTTTATGTGGAAAGATTTCCTCAGTGTTTTAACAAATTGAATATCGCTTACGACAGCGTAGAGGACAACTTATTGGTGTCTTTTCCAGTATTTCTTGTTTTATGCAAATTAAGCTTGTCACATGTCTTGGCGGTTGATTCAAACTTGCTAAATTTTTTACCTGTGCTCGCGGCGTTTACCAACGGCGTAGAGATTCCTTTTAAGGGGTTTGAAATTCCATAGGCATTATGACTGAAAACAAACCCGTAAACTACCGTGGCAATGAAGATGTAGCTGAACACAAGCCTTTCAGAGCAACGAAAATTTGGAAAGATCTCATCGCACATCTTCGAACCCAAGTCGAGCCACGTCGAAGGCGGTGGAAGTTTCAGTATTACGAGAATTGTTTTCGTGGTGGAGATGTTGTTGAAGTACTCCATTCTTACATTCAGAGCAATCCACTATTATCGAAAGAAGCCACTCGCTCCCAGGTCAAATCTTTATGTCAGATTTTGGTGGAAAGAAGAGTAATCGAGTGTGTTTGTGTTGACAGCAGTAAAAGAGACACCTTCGAGGAAAACAACAAATTGTACAGATTTTCGTCCGGAGATGGCCCCCTGGAACACGTATTTCCTTCCCCCCTTCAACAGAAACAGAAAGTAAATAGAAGGAGGAGTCTTCTTGGTGAAAAGGAGAAGAAGCCGGCGAGCAGGAGAAAGTCAGTGAGTTTTACACCAAGGGCTCAAAAACGATTCGCTGATCTTCTCATGTCCTCAAAATCTCCTGAAATTTTTAACACAAGGACACATGAAGCACCAAAGAAACGAAGAAGGCTTAGTCTTGACCCTGGTCTTATGATGAGGTACAAAATGTTAGTAATTGAATTTTAGTTTTCGTCTTTTATTTGCCTTATTTACAAAATACAAACAATTTATTCACAGCGGCTATAGCTAGAAGGCGAGAAGACCCAGGAAGCCACCGGGCTTGTAAAGAAACTTCCATGCCTAAGATTCAAATGCGACTCTGCTTTGTAGGGTATTGGTGGATATCTTAGTGTAACTAGAAGTAGTTTTGGTTACTAAACCAGAGTTTTCCTATATTAAAAAGATACGGCAATTGAGACCCGAAGTCGTGTTAATAATCAACTTATTATGTTCTTGGCTATGTTATGTCTGGCAGCATTATTAAGTAAAGTTGTTGATTTATGCTGAAATTCTGTCTTTGCACAGAAAGAACAAGTCAACCATGTTCCCTGATTCAACTGATCAAGCAGATTTGACAAGCAAAGTGTGGTTTGAAGTGGCTCTATCACAACTCCTTAGACTTACCGATATTCCTTTCCTTGAGGACATATTGACCTTGCCATTGACAGATAGGAGAACTGGATTTCTAGCAATCCACAATAGTGTCCAGGAACCTTGTATTCATAATGATAGTCAAAACAAGGAGAACATCAGCAATTCAAAGTCAAGCAATGTTTGGGTTACAGCTGGCATGGAGTGCATTGAGTTGCAAAAAGAATGTCCTTTAGCACAGCGTGGTGAAGACAGCTATTCAAATTTGAAGAACATTGATAAAGCACAAATTCACCAGCTTTTATCAGAATATTATGGATCACTAGAGGACTCATTGATTCCTTCGAACCTAACTGACTTGGTGGATGGTATTCTCTCAGTTCTTGTCAAAGACTGGAAAAAGACTGCAAAGTTTCTGCCACTGTTGGTTATGATGCTTGGAGAAAGTCAAAGGAAACACCTTAGACATTTGTTGACTTTTATTGGAACAACTGAGGGAACAAGCAATGGAAGGTTTATTGTGAAGAAGTTCATGAGTGCTATCTTACCAAAAGATGTTAAAGATAAAGTGAGTTGCATTTAGTCTTTGTCCTACTGAATGAATGATGGGGAAATGTTTGAAGCTAATTTATTTATTTATTTTTTTAAATGTATAAAGTGCGCAGTTAAGTTACCTTAAACTTCACAATCATGACCAACCTCACAGAATCAGGTACATTGCTTTGAATCCTTCCTATGAGAGGAGTCCAGTGACTGCCAGTATGAATTGATTTTAATGGGATCCAACATTAAAAATATGTCGGGGGTTCAACAAAGTTTCTTTATTTCTTGGGAGGTGGAAAGTACATATAAACTTTTTAAGAAATGTTGGGAGTTACTTTTTGTTGCCAATTTTTCTGAGGATGTGACAATTTTTATTGCTACTTGGGCACAGACATGCTTATTGTTTTAGTGTTTTGTTGGTTAGGTTTCTTGCAGTGGAATGGAAGTGTAACAGGTGCAATTGGGCTGCTCTTTGGCTCATATAAGTGCTGCATATAACATGAGCCTTACTTGATGGAAATATCGAATTTTTTCTCTCTCATAGGGGTCAGCCCATAAATTGGTTTCACTAATGGTGAGGAATCAGTGCCACATGTTCAAAGTACCATCTGAACTTAAAGAGAAATTAAAAAGAAATATCTTCTTTGCTCAGAGGGATATTTGCCCATCCTTGCCTTCCACTGTTTGTCAACAAATGTCTCTTGAAGAATACAGAATGCAAGCAAAGCAAACAACAGGTGAAGCCTTGAACAAGCTCATGCTCTTTATCATTGAAAACCTACAAATGAGTGTAAAAGAAAAGGAGGAGCAGCTCAAGCTTTTTCAGAAACACCATAATGACTTGTTTTTAGAGCAGTTTCCAAATGGACAGTTGTGAAAAGAAATAGCTCTTCTAAACTGTTTCCAAATGGAAGTGTCCAAGTAACAAGTATAAGGTTTTGCTATAATGCTTGGAATAGAGAAAAAGGCCAAAATCCCAGAGATGAATTGACATAAGTGTCTTAAAATTCTTGTTACATGCAGTTGAGCTTGGCCAGTGGAATATTTTCACTCCCACTAGGGTCCCACTAGCCAAAGTTTTGGTTGAATGATTGATCACTATTTAAGTCTTTAAATTTGTTGGTAAATTATAGCTGAAAAATGCATTTGAGCAGGAAAATTATTCAGGGAGGTAACTTTAAAATTTGAACTCTTAATTAAATCATATATTTAATAGTATTTAAAAGTTACTATTTATTGAAACAAAAAAATGGGGTGATGTATTGAAAAAGGTTCATGTATTTGTTGAGTATGAGTTTCCATTGATGTACTGTTTGGGTGGACATCACCATTCATCCTCACCCTCCTTGATAACTTCATGTATTTAGAATAGCCTTAGGTTTGCTAAATTCTCAGGCAGTGGGGGCTGTGAAAACGAAAATGGGAAAGTCAAAATAAAGCAGTTATCCCTCCAAGTGTTGTCTCTTGTTTATGCTTCAACTTTTGTGCTTGTTCCTACTGTTCAGTTTTAACAAAAAGTTTAACTTAGCAATAAGGGGTGGGTGCTGGTTCTAATGATTTCAAACAATAGCTGCAAAAAAATTACAAGAAACTGCAAATACACCTCCCTATTTACAGAAAGAGCTTTTAATTGTTTTTGTTGTTGACTTAAGATTGTTTGTTTTCAAGATTTACAGCATCTTGATTGAAGCTTGACCTAAATTGAAATTTAATTGTAACGATGATAGTAATAGTAGAAAAATCGATGCACAACATGAAGACAATTTGAAACTAATCTACATACTACAGTTACTGTAAATGATACTTTCATTGTTTTATTATGAGAGACCAGTAACAAAAAAATCACAACATCTGATAAATGTTTTGTAAAAATCTTCAGTGACCCACAGTTCATTTGTCAAACTTCCTATAAGAGCTGATGTCGTGAGAAATATTTCTTTTACTCTGAATGAGCAAACACAAGTAGAGCTCAGAAAGCAGAAGTTGACCACAATTGTTTTAGCATTTTTTGCAAGTAATTCACACAAATTCAATGCAAATAGTGGAAAACCCCAAGGAGATTACTGCTCTGTAAGGTAGAGGTAAAATTGCCCATTTGTTGGTGTTGCAGTTCCCCTTCAGCGTTAGATAATAAAGTACACTGCTAGTATCAAAATGTCCTCTAATTACAATCAAGAACTTCAGTTTTACAGCATCTTTCATTGAGTAACTACCAATGTTGAGTTTCCTGAATGGATTTTACCAAGTTGCAGTTTTGACTCATCAGCCACCTCTTAAATTACACTAAACCTAGCTCTTGGAGCTTGGTATAAGATTACATACTTGAGCAAAAACGATTTTTCCATAAGCTTGAAAACTGGAATGTACACGTATCATACATGTTTCTTGAAAGCCTTCTGAAAAGAACTGTGACTGCAGGGAATAGATCAAGTGAAATATTTGTGTTTTATCCCAGATTATAAGGGAAGACTTTGTTTTATTTTCTGCAGAAAACAGATTTTGAGTATATGCACATCAGAAAACTTCCCAATGTTTTTCTCTTGGAGGAAAATATCGAAAAGCTCTTCTGTAACCATTTGTACATGTCCTGCTCAGAAGAACTGTGTAGACCAAAATTAACCATGAGGTGAACTAAATGGTAGAAATAAAGGTCTTATGTTTGTAGTTCAAGTTGCAAAGTCCTCTACTACATTGTAATTATAATGAAAATTCTATTGAAGCTCTGCATTTGAAGATAAGGTGAGTTAGTTCAGGGTCACTTCAGTCATCAATAAGTTTATGCAAAAAGTGAGGTTACAAAACACAATGCTAATGATCCCTAGGCCCCTTTTCATGGGAATTTTAGACATCCTCTCTGCCTTCCATGCACAAAACTATTGACTTACAAGGGCTACTGTCAATCAAACAGAATTGTTTCTGTATCTCATTGTTCTGTGTTCTTTCCCAATCCATTATTGATTGTACTAGGAACTCCATAATATTTATCAATATTGTTGCACAGTCCATCATCTCTCTATCAATGCAAGTGGTTGTGCGTTTCTTGAGTTGTTTCAACCCTGGTTAATTGAGAAGTACTCTCTTTCTTTTCAGTTGCTTGGTCTGTTGTCATCAGTGTAAATTTTTAGAGCTCTTTCCTTGTAAGAAAATTTTCCAATTCTTGTATTTGAGTTGTTGCTCCTGTATGATGATAAAAAGAATGCATTTGTTCATTACTGGAAGTGGAGTTCACATGAAACTTCTCTATATAATATTCATATGTTATCCAGCAAACAGGCGATGAGAGTACTCACATGTTCCAGGTAGAAGTTTAATTTTCATCCTTATCTAATACCAAATTCTCTTAACTAATTTACAAGGAAATGTGTAGCAGCTAGAGCAGACAATTAACAATGAGATCTTGGGAGTTATTATGGGTTAATTCCAAAATAGAACACCATGCTTGTGATTTGGCTACAGTCAATCTACTGTTGTTCATTTGAATTGGATTACAGGGCTAAAATAACTTCCCTTGATTACTACCTCATAAAGTATTACCAGATATTCCTAACTGCCACTTGAAAGACAACATAAAAATTAATTTTGTTTTAGTGAAATGCTGCACACACAAAAAATATTGATTGTACATCATTGTGGCTGTAATCTTTTCTGGATAAGTAAAACATGACATCATCATGAGAGGGTGAAATTCTTACTTTGCATTTTCTTTTTTTATGATTTCCTGCTTCTTTTCTTCTGTTATTTCCATGAGCTTTTCTGTTTTATCCCTACAGAAAGGATGAAGTATAACTTTTAAAGGTGGGAACTTTTGACAGTTAAATCTTGAACTAAATTGAAAAGGAAGCAAAGCAAAAAAACAAAGCCATAAAGCAAAGCAAAGAAGCCAAGCTTCCAGGGGCAAATATGAAATTTTGAGGACAATCTATCTGCCAAGGACAGATAGATTGTCATCCAGAACATTTTAAGCCCTCCATTCCTCTGAACTAAAGACTCTAACCTGAAAAACACCACTGCTCCATCATCAGTTATCAACAGAGGACTTGCTCTAAGAGATGTCAAGTCACTTGACCAGTCACACTCATCATGAATCTCCAAAACAGACATTTCACAAGGAAAGTGTCCACGGCCCTACAAGGGAAACATCCCCTTAAGTTTTTTTTATTACAAAAAGAAATAGGATTCTCAAAGTTCTTAAGAAAGTAGCTAAAAAATTATGTCAACTCCTACACTTTGTGTGAGGCATGAGGGGACGCAAATCATCTGTACTGTAAGTATCCCGGAGAGTTCCCTACATTTTCTTAGACTTTTAGTCTAAGAAAATGTATGGGGACTGTAAGGTGTCATAATCCTGTTGCTGCTGACATCAATGTGACAGATAATTGCTTTTGCACAGTTTTCTTTGCCGGCTTATACTTTTCAACAAGTTTCAATAAGACGGCTATCATTTTTCACAAGATGAATGAAGTTTTCGTAAATTGTGAGATCGGATGGGATTAAAATGGGATTAAATCACCTACAGAGCTTGATATGTACTTACAGTGCAGACGATTTGCGTCCCCTCATGTTGAAATCAAATATAACTTTCCCACACAATGAAAGTGTCTGTGTGGTTATCTTTTGTCAAGAAGTGTTTATGTCTTCTGATTACAAGTTATAACAGTGGAACTTTTCAACTTTCAAACTCCCATGAATGACCAAAACAGAATTTCTCTTTACAATAGCAATATCAAGCAGAAAAGTGATGAAATTGTAGGAAAATATCAGTAGGGGATCATAAGTTGTTAAAATGCTACATTTTTCAAACTACAATCATGAGAATTAATGGCAGAAAGTAAGGAGAATTATTAATGCGATATTGGCATTGAAAGGGTTAAAGCATGACTCATCAACACCATGGTGTTGGTGAGTCAAAGAACCAACAGACTTTCAAAGAAGTTGATGTTTAAATAAGTGGTGTGCATGGTAGCTTTACATCTGTGCATGATTATAACAAAGGTCAGTGCTGAAATTGCTATAAAATTGTGCAAACTAGCCTCCCAAAATATGGTAAACTACAGAAAACTAAAAAAATCCTGGTAGAGTAATTTTAGATTTTAATTTGACCCTAAATCTTGAATAATCTTCACCTTGCACAACTCTAAATTCTCTTCTGGAACACTACCAAGTTTGCTAACCTGAAAGAGAAATACACAATTACAATCTATAAATATCACAGACTACAGCAATCAATTTGGAAAGTCAAATGAAAATGTTATAGTATCTGGAAGCACAAATGTAAATATGTATCATGAAGACATAAAAATAAAAAACAGTTGACTATCTCCAAGGTATGCATATTTATGTGTCAACCAATTTGAAGCTTCAGCATCCTCCCAAGGACCCCCTGCGCATTTGAACTTTAAAGATTGGTTTGTTCAAACTCCCAACCCTCTAGACCAAAATAGTGTTCAAATGCCCATGCCACCAAAGTGCTTATTTCATGATCTATTCTTTTTTAAAAGGCAATAACAGCCACCATAAGTTTCCTTCTAAGCCATCTCCTTCCAAAAGTGAACTCTTTACCTTTAAACACCTCCATATTAAAATATAAAACACATGTGTATCACTGGAAAGAATTTTCAGTTCTGGTTCGAATCCCCCCCCCCCAGGTACAGATGAAGGTCAAATGCGGGTTTCTGAAAGTGGTGGTTGAGGGGATGGGTGGTGTTGAAGCTTCTAATTGATTGGCATGCTAGAGAGTGGAACTGCAATCTACAAGTCTAACTAAGGGTCAGAGTGACCCTAAACCTTGAGGGCCATCAGACTGTGAGTATGAAACACTGCTGCCTTGGCCACAAAACCCTCGATCCATTGAAGAATTCTTTCATGAATAACAGTCATGCCCTAACTAATCCCAACTTACTGCAGCTTTCAGTTCATCAACTACACTGTCTTGCAGAACAACCTCTTTGGGAGGGTCAAGTGTTATAGTTGAAGGATGCCAATGGCGCACATAGACTGAAAGCTGGTCTGTTGAAGTCATTAATTCAGGGCCTAGAAGAGTGAAAAATGGATGTTGTGGATATGTTTTGTTTTGGAAAGTGATTATATGATGCACATACTATGTAAAAGAACAATTTGGGGATTCAGAATAGTTAAATGACACAAAATTATTAACTATAATTATAACTCAGAGTTACTTTTGTATATTAAACCCTCACACTTGAAATTCCACACCTCGATTAATGAACACAATAAAAATAGAGAAACGAAGAAACAGTAAGTCAAAATAAATGAAATCTCAGTTAAAAACTATTGTCAGTTATATCGGGGAATTAAGGGGTCAACAAAAAGTATGATGGTCAAGTGTGTCATCTGACAAGAGGAGATACAGAAATTATTAAAGTGGTGATTTGATAAAAATTCTTAGTCAAACTCACACACCTTCTAATATTTCCAGGAAAACTTCAAAACTTGCATACACCTGAATGTGGTCTTCAAACACCTGAGAATCAACATACACTGCAGCAGGATTCTTCCAGTTTTTTCTTCTCATCCTGAGACTAAAAATAAAAAAAGGAAGAGATAAAAGAGAAAAAAATTCCTTATTTGAAGGAAAACAAAACAAAAAGTTAACAGTTTAACTCTTTGAGTTTTTTCAAAAACAAATAAATAAACAAGGAAGTAACATGGCCGTATCTGCTTCAAAATAAACAAGTGCTGTTTAACAGGCATAAAACCAGCTGGAAGAGTTCCATATTTAATTAACCATACTAACTAATAAATATTAATTCATAGTAATAATATTTGTGTTAATTCATATTAACATTCAGTGGAGGTGGGAAAAAATTTTTTTTTACCTTTAAGTGTACCCTTTCAGCTGAAAATCTTAGAGTGATGATTAAACTTACTTTTCAACAGGTACATCAATACCACATCTTTGGCAGATTTCTGGCTGTAGAAGTTCTTTGCATTGTTTGACTGACATACCATCAGTTACAATCCAGTCACAAAAGTACTTGTAAGGCTAGAAGTGAAACAGATACTACCATTCAATTCATTTCCTTCATCAAAGACTAATCATCATCATGACATGTAATTAAAGGGCTCTATTGCTTTAAAGTAGCCTTAGTTTATCTCTTCTCCCAAAAGGAATCAGTGGCCAAACTGTGGGTCAAAATTCTTTTCCAGACACCTACTATAAAGTTTTATTATAGACTGATATTGTTATAAAACATAGTTTAAGCTCAACTTTGACAGTTAGGAAGGAATTTTATGCTAATTATTTGCAAGAAAAAGGATTGTAGCAATTGTATTTAATGCAGGAAGAACTTGTGCAATGAGTCCAGGAATAGATATACAGAACAAATTCTCTGTAACAAATCACCTCACCTCCTTTTCCGTAGGATTTAGTAGAAATATTTTTAGCTGATGTTCCCCTTTCTTGAGGGCACGACTGTACTTTACTCGTATCTAGCACAGAAAGAATTGAATGCCTCATATCCACTACAAATGTAACATCTACTAAAGATTGCTGTAGAGCATAATTTTCCAGCAAAGTGCAAACATACTTTACAAATAAAGTCAATTGCTAGATAGCACAAAAGCTTAAAAGGTTGTGTTTGTTTCATGTAGATACTGTCAATAAAATGATCTTACTCCACCATTCAGCTGGTGAATAAATGTAAAATGAACCAGACCACAGCAAGTCCATGTTCCTTTACAATTTTACTAATTTAACATGTAGAGGAAAATGAGGAAGGGCAAGAATTAACCTATCGATATAATAATGCCATCATTTACAACAAAATAAGTATCTAAAAGTGCAGCCTACATGATTCTGACAGTTTTCACACTGTATATTAAAATGAACTCTACCAATGTGTCACTCAAACAGAAAAACAATATTGAAACTACCATGAAAATAGCAACATTTCACTGTCCTGGAAAATTCCGCATTGGCACCAACCTTAGAATCATCACTGAAGCTTGTAAGTGGGTCAGTTAACTTGCTGTACTCAATTTCTTGGTTGTTTGAGTATACTCTGTAAACCTATGATCACGAAAAACAGACCTCTAGTATCAATGACATCTCAAATGAAACTCTGGTTTATGCGGGGTCTCCACCAGCAAATGATTGCAACTTCACAAATCATCTCTAATTCTGTTTGGTAAATAACATAAACTAAAGACATTCTCTAGTACCTACCCTAAAAAACTCTGGTGCACATCCAACATCGCTCTTCAGAATTTCCTTCAGTTTTCCAAGGGTGATTCTTTTGTCCACTCGGACAAGTTTTTCTAAAAATCAAACATGGCTTGCAATTATTTCCTAGGAAAGTGCAAGAGTTAGTTAATGAAGACTTATGTTACCATAACTGTATCTCTGTACTCTTGACACAACTTCTCACCTCTTTGTTTTTCATTCTTCTCTGAATCAACTGTAGTCTCACAGATATATCTGCTTGTGTGCTCTATGGGCAAGAGGTTGTTACACACGTGTTAGTATGCAAGGAGTTCTCTGTTCAAACATCAATGTAATAATTGTGAATTATCATGATCCCAAAACATTAATGACATCATCTTGTTTTTCAAACCAAGCCAATGAACTACATAACCAGATGTAATAGAGATGTACACAGAGAAGATAAAATTCCTTCTATTCTCAGATTACAAAGTAGCCAAATATGGTTCAACTAACAATCTTTAAGGCCCCACATACCTGATGGTTTTGTAGATGGATCTGGTAATAAGACAAACAATTGAATAGTGTGCTGAAATACATCTAAGACTTTGAACAGTTTGGAATCTTTAAACTGAACATCTTCCTCTTTATCAGAAGCTTCTACAAACACCTAGTGGAATATAACCACAAACATTCATTTTGTTATCCAAGGCAAATATTTTGTACTAGACAATAACTTAATCTGAGTTGACTGCAGGTTCATATTAAGCAGAAACTTAAGGCCACCTAAGTCTTGGCTCAAGCAAATGGGTGCATGCAGCTAAAAGTTATACTGCAGTATGCCATACCAGTTGACAGCTAGGAAGATTATTCCCCTTCCCCCTTCTATTTATTGAATGGGATACCAGACAAACTCCTCCTTACAATTTCCACACCATTTGCTGATAAAACTGATTTTAAGTGATTTAAAATTGATTCAAAAGCATCCCCTTCCTAATTGTTTCTTTAACCCACAATGAGGGATTGGCACTATTCTGGAAAAGAAGAGATTTAGGGAACTGATTCCTTTTCAACTCTTTGCATGACAACATTATATTGTATGTGCAAAGGTAAAAAGAGGCACTCTGAGAATAAAGTGTGTTGACCAAGCACTGAACAGAGAGGCCTTGCCAAACACTGATCTACAACCTTTCCACTTAGACCCCATGTGTAAAAGACTGTGCTACCTCATTCCTCTTAGCTACATCATGCATTGAAGAATATGCAATTTCATCTGGAAAAAATATTTGAGTGATTTAAATACCCTGTTGTTTTTGAAGAATCCAAGTTCTTTTAGAACTTTGCTTGGGTTATCTAGCAGCTTCAGATCATTGTAGGATCCTTCAAACGCAACCCTCATACAGTCCACAGGAAGATTAAATTTCTGCACATGAATTAAATGATAATCCATTTTTTAAATAACAGTGAAACATATACATAACATTTTATGGAGCAGTCTATTTTTAAATCTCTCAAAGTGTTGTTTGGAGAGAATAGGAACAAGGCAAAAGAAGGAGAATAAAAAGGGTGAAAAGATGAAAGGGGAAGGGGTCCCAACCCCCCCTCCCCAACCAGGTCAAGCAACTTTTTCTCAACTACCCATAAATGGAGCCTGAGAACTTGTAGACAAAACAATGACCATAGCATTTTTAGAGGCAAACAAAGAAAGTTGCCAAGAGACAAAACACAAAATAGACCAATGAGTAATGTACAGTGTCTCCTAGAGGTAAGAAAAGCCTGACACTTGCATGGAAAAAGAAACTGTTCTTACTTCATGAATAAGATCACAAAGATCCCCCACAGTTGAACTGAGCAGTGGTCGCACATTTACATATGGATCCACCTTTTCTTTTTCTAGCTGCACCACATGAACCTTTACTGTTGTACCTAGGAGCAGGAAAAAAAAATGCTATCAAAATGTTCACACTTTGATCCCCTGAGTGCTTGAGGACACAAGGGCATAACAACAAAATACTGACTGATGTCCCTCCTGTGTGTTTTTATACTCAGATTTGACAATAACACCAAAGTAAAATTACATTCATTTAACACTCAAGTAAGCTCTAACTCATTCACCATGTTTCATTTATGGATGAGAGAACTACTGATTATTTCTTCTTGGTAAAAACATGAAAATATCACCAACGCTGTCTACCCTACAACCTAAAAAGCAGTCTATCTGGCCCTGGTTGTTCCAAGGGTGGATAACACTATCCATGGGACAAATTTGCATTTTCTAATAAATAGTGTCTTATTTATTGGATAACTTATATTCCTTTTGAACAACTGGGCCCAGTTCAATAACATTATCTCACCTATGGGTATACATATATAAAGTAATTTAGCTGGTAGTTTATTGGAGTTATCAACAAACAAAGGAACAATTTAGATCAAGTTTACCTCCAGGTTTATAGGGTTTAAATCTTTCATCTTCCTTTCTAGTTTCAAGGAGAAGGTCAAACATGTAGGATTGTTTAACTCCATTCAAAACTTTGCCAATGGGATTATCCTGTTTGTGAAAGAGGAGATACAAGATCAATGCAAATGGTAGCTGTTTTTTCAAATTTACTATTAGTATCAATGATCTAGCAATGTGGTGAGTTTACAGAAAGAACTGCATTTAGTAGCCTGGCACTATTTGGCCGGTGACAACCTCCTTTTTCCAAGGTCCATTTAGTGTTAACAAGATCATCTAGGAATAGGTGAATGTAAGGGTGTTTTTTTATGAGGGACAGAAAAAAAAGTAGATGCCTCTAGTTAATTAGGGGAATCTTCGAAATCTTTGGCCTCCAAGGCATTTCTATTGATTTGGCAGCAACTTGAAAAATATTGCTATCTCCCTGGCTTGATTCTACTTGAGTAAACCCTTTAAACCCCAAGATCTCACAAGTAATTCTCCTTACCTTCTGCCATAAATTATTAAGACATTACTCTGGAAAAGTTAGTATAGGATCAACTAATAATTAAATATTCTTTTTATTGATCCATAAAATATTTTTTGCTTATACACTGTTGGTCTAAATGCACCACATGACTGAAAGTTTTCCAGCTAAAACTGGGGGATATCCAAGGATGTTGATAAACACAATAATAAACACAGTAGCCTCTATTTCGTGGAAAAATACGCTTGTATATTTGTCCTTGGACATTATATGTTCCTTAAAGTTTTCCTTAAGTTTCCCTATAGGAAAACTGTTCCCATCTTGAAACAGACAATGTCCCATGACCTATATCTGTGCATATTGTTGTGCCACATAGAGAGAATTATCAATATTTATTTTCATCACTTGTCTTCTTGATATTGCCTCGAAATGATAGGAATTCTGTCTAGTCACTCATGGGAATTAAAGGATTTATTTCCTTTAGTCATTGCAAATAAACTAAACCGGATTTAAGCAGCCAAAAAGCCACCACTTTGACTCATTCTTCCCTCTTTCCAGGTTTACTTTGGAATTTGGAGTTTGGTTTTGAGGTAGAGGAATACCAAAGTAAAAGCCTTGGCAATGAGACAATAATTCAAGAGCCAACCATAAACCACACCTACATGCAACACCAGCATTGGGGATTGCACCTTAATCATTTCATTAGATATTTTGTTGTAATGGATAGTTTGAAGCTTCAAAATTCCCCCCTTCCCCACAATTCTAACTTTTGAAGATTGCTTCATTCAAATTCCTGCCCTGCCCCCTTAGCCAAAATTGTGTCCAAATGCACCCTAAATACACTGTATCTAATGCACTGCATGCACTATATTTGAATACAAAGATAATAAACTCACCTCTTCCCCATCATATGACCTTTCAATGTAATCATAGTATTCATCAAACTTCACAATTCGACACTGTTCAGCTGGGAGAAATTCCTCCAAGTGGAAAAGCTACCATAACAGAGCAAAATTATCCAATGAGGATCTTGTAAAATGACGTAATGGTCTTAATTTAAAATGCCACATTCTTAACTCTCGTAATCAAACTTCAGTTTGTAATTCTCTGCATCTGTACTGTGTCTAATACTGGTAAGTAAGATGTAAAAAAAAATCTCTTTTCATTATGTAATGTGCCATACCTTGTGAGCCACAGATACTGCATCTTTCAAAGTTGTATCCTTGTGAATTTCAAGTTTCTGTTCCATAATTCTCCTACTCTGAGGGTGCTCACAAAAAATCTTGATCTGGAGCAAAATAAACGCATTTATTCTGTTCAAAATTGAGACCCTTACAAAATCATGTGCTTACCTCACTAACACATCCATCAGTTCAAAACTTTAACAACCACAGGGTGAGTGAAATGTTTTGCCCAACAACAAATCACAATGACACTTACGAGGGCATGAGCCCTTGCCCTTTAATCAGCAAGCCACAAAATCTCCCATTTCTGATTCAAACCATCTATACAAAGCTTGCTTTTAATTTATTAGCTTCTACACATCTGCATTCTTACCTTGCACATGGATCTCTCCATTTCTTTTCTTCTTCTCTCATCTTCTTCTTGTTTTTTCAATTTTTGCATCAACTCCAGAATGTGGAGGGGCATGTCACACTGTTCCAGGAACTTGCAGTTTCTTTCAGGATTGACTTGTCTATACATCAGCATGTATGCATTTGTTGAACTGCAAATGTCACCAATAAACAATCTCATTCTTCAACTACAGTTCTACATCTGCACTTGTGTGACAAAAAATTAGTAGCATAGTATAATAAAGAGGTCAAGGGTCAAGTACACAAAGTTGTTGGAAAGTTTTCAAGTAGCTGGCCATAGTGTTGCAGTATAAGGTGGCTAAAGGTATTTTGCCATCACTAACTAAAGCAAAGCAACTAAGATAAGGTTATATTTATTAATTACTAACTACAGTAACTCACAAACAAATGTTACCTGGAGTAGACTGATGAATAGTAGGTCCTTGATGATTCAAAACCTCCATAAGTTCTTTCAATATCATCATCACTGGCCTGATTGAGTTCGTAATGAAGGAATTGAGAAGAAAACAAAGGAATCAAATTCAAGGGGACTTGATTTCTCCCTTCTTTGGTAGAATAAGGCCATAATTTTCTCAAAGTAACTTAACCTTCTTGAATGGCTCAAGGCAACAATGTCCTACAGCTCAAGTCATTTCTTCCAGCTTCAAAAGTTGAAGAAGTTTTCTCATCTTTGACCTTAATTTATCTAACTCTTTCGTTTCCGCCTCTTCATACCTCTATACTAAGTCTTGGATGTGTAATTCCCAAAAATTTCTAAGAATACCCTCTATCAGATAGAAAGCCGTATGCATGTCATTTTTTTGTATCACTGTGACCATAACACTTACCTTTGTGACACTCTGGTCATTAAAGCAGTACCACTTCCCATTTGTGAATGATCTGTGATATTTGGGACAGGAAAACATTACAATTTCAATAACCTGATGGAACACAGAACACGCTTCAAACAGAAACAGATCACTCCATCCTAAATAAATACTGACTACATGACTGCATGCAGGATACAATAAATAAACCTCACTTGATGTATGCATAATAGTGGCCTCCTGATGCACTTCCTGAATGAATCATGATGGAGAATAACTCATACCAATATGGACCCTAAAAAAATAAAACACAGACAAATGAACTCGACAACTTAATGTATGCT